AAAAAAAAAAAAAAAAAAAAAAAATAATAATAATAATAATAATAAATAAATAAATGTCTGTTTACTTAGAGCAATGATACCAATTATAAATAATTGAGTAGTTATAGCAATGATATATTTACTGATTACTTAGTTATGGAAATGACACCAAATAGATATTAGATTCAGTCACATAATCAGTCACACTGTCAATCTTTTTATTTATTTATTTTTTGAGACGAGGTTTCACCATGTTGGCCAGGCTGGTCTCAAACTCCTGACCTCGTGATCCACCCGCCTCGGCCTCCCGAAACGCTGGGATTACAGGCGTGAGCCACCGCGCCCGGTCCAGAGTCAATCTTATTACATCGTTATTCTTTATGAATCTTTAGTATTAGAGTGTAGGAACATTGTAGTCTTATAGTATGGACATAATTGAGCGAAATGTAATTCAGAACTGAAGGGACACTGTCAGAGGTGACCAGGAGGCGAGAGTAAACGCCTTGCGGTAGGGCCAGCTTCTGGGAAGGTGCCCGCTACTTAGCAGGCCGTGAGGGCAGTTTCCCTCTCACTGGGGAGTTCAGAGAACACTCTGCTCTGCCTGCCCTTGAGGAAGGTCTGACCCTGGCCAGGCCGCCCGCAGACACCCAGGGGCTTAAACACCTCTCCGCGGTGCTGTGCTCCGGCCGTCACCATCCTTGTCCACCTTCATGTTCCACTTTCCCACCCGATGCTCCCTTGTAAATTCTTAGAGGCTGTGAGAAGAATAGAGGAACCCTAAAAGCCTTTGATCTCTCTGATAAGTGATAGAAAGATACTGACGTAGGTGCCTCCCCTTCTTGCAGCGGCTACCTGAGAGGGAGGGGCCCTCTGTGCTCTACCCACGTGGCCCCCTGTACTGTACCCATGTGACCCTCTGCACTGTACCCAGGTGACCCCCTAGGCTATACCCACGTGACCCCTGTACCCTACCCACGTGGCCCCCTGCACTGTACCCACGTGAACACCTGTACTTACACACGGGACCCCTGTACCGTACCCATGTGACCCCCTGCACTGTACCCACGAGACCCCTGCACTGTGCCCCCGTGACCCCCTGTACTGTACTCACGTGGCCCCCTGCACTATACTCACGTGGCCTCCTAAACTGTACCCACGTGGCCCCCTGTATTGTAAGAACGTGATTTGCTTGACCCCTACCAATCATGTCAGATGAGTCACTCTCCGGCCCTGCCGCCCCGCCTTGTATACAATAAACGTCAGCGTGTCCAGGCACCCGGGGCCACTGCTGGGCTCCGAGCCTTGTTAGCAGTGAACCCCGCGCCCGGCTGCATTCTTCCATCTCTGTGTCTGCGTCTTTCTTTTCCACAATCCATCGTCTCTGCACACAAAAGGGCACCCACCACACCCTGCGGGGCTGGACCCTGTCGTGTGCCACATTCACACGTGCAGTGACGGTTACGTGTGTGGGCGCTGGGTTCATATCCCGGTTCTGGTATCGCCGTTTGGCCACTGTTTAACCTCAGGCCCCTGGAGTAAACGCTCTGTGACTCAGTTTCCTCCTCTGTAAAATTATAATCATAGGATCCGTCGCATAAATGTGTCACGAAGGTAAAACAAATTAACGTTTGTAAAGTTCTTGGCTTAGAAAGTGTTGTCTGGCCGGGCACGGGGGCTCACGCCTGTAATCCCAGCACCTTGGGAGGCTGAGGCGGGCGGATCACGAGGTCAGGAGTTGGAGACAAGCCTGGCCAACATGGTGAAACTCCGTCTCTACTAAAAATATAAAAATTAGCTGGGCGTGGTGGCGGGCATCTGTAATCCCAGCTACGTGGGAGGCTGAGGCCGGAGTGAATCTCTTGAACCCGGGAGGTGGAGGTTGCCGAGATCGCACCACTGCACTCCAGCCTGGGTGACAGAGTGAGACTCTCTCAAAAAACATATTGAAAAAAATCAGCCTGATGCCGGGCGCGGTGGCTCACGCCTGTAATCCCAGCACTTTGGGAGGCCGAGGCGGGTGGATCACGAGGTCAAGAGATCGAGACCATCCTGGTCAACATGGTGAAACCCCGTCTCTACTAAAAATACAAAACATTAGCTGGGCATGGTGGCGCGTGCCTGTAATCCCAGCTACTCAGGAGGCTGAGGCAGGAGAATTGCCTGAACCCAGGAGGCGGAGGTTGCGGTGAGCCGAGATTGCGCCATTGCACTCCAGCCTGGGCAAAAAGAGTGAGATTCTGACAAAAAGAAAGAATAAAAAAAATCAGCGGGGAGCCTCCTTTCCTCTCTCCACGTGTCCCTCTCTGTGGCTGACGCCTCTTTCTCGTGGACAGCGGGACTCTGACTCCCACCTCGTCCCCGCCTCGGGCCTCCCCTCTAGGCTCACCCCAGCTCACTTCTCATGCTTCCTCTCAGGGGACCCCTCCCCTGCTGACTGCCCCCAACGAGAAATAGTGCTCCGACCCCGTCACCCCTCCCCTGAGCCCACAACCTGCCCCTGCCTGTGCCCCTCCCCATCCCCCGGCCTCTTGAACTAAGGCCTCTGCCCTGGCTGTGCCCCCTGCCTGGTGGCCCTTCTGATGTTTCTCTTCACACCTTGGTATGCAACTCTGGCACTGCCACCTCCTCCAGGAAGTCCCCCAGGATGCTTCCCTATCCCCATCCTCCTCCTCAAGGAGGCCCCTGAGCCAGCAGAAACATGGCTGGAGCCGCCAGGGCCCACGTGGGCATCTTGACAGTTCTAGGAAACGTCTGGGGTGATTCCATTTTCCAGATGAGGAAACTGAGGCATGGAGATGAATAACAAGTTCCCCAGGGCCACCCTGATGGCGCTGGGTTAGAACCCACATCCATGGGCATCCAGGAGAGAGACCCCCTGTGACCTGGACACCCAGGCCTTGGCTCCGACTCCCCCCATCCTGAGCCTGGAGCTGGGGTACTTGAGCACTGGGGGCCTCTAGGCGGTTCTCCCTCCTCTCCCTCTGCGGGAAGAACAGACAGGAGCCGGGGAGAGTTTCAACATTTATTGAGGTCACTGTGGGGTGGGGTACAGGGCCGGCCTGTCTCCCGGAGCCCCATGGAAGGAGCATGGGGAGGGGAACGGGGGGGCCATCCCCGACGTCGGGGGGAGGAGCAGCGTTCTGGGAAGAACTGCCTCCGTCCAAAACTCTCCCTCGAGGGTCTGGAGCTAGGCTGGGGCCCCGCCGGGGCCGTGGGAGGGGTGGCTCAGGGGCTGTCCTCGGCCCCCACACGGCGCAGTATGGAGCGGATCCAGTCAACATAGAGTGCCACCCTTGCGAAGAAGTCGGGGAACTGGCGGCTGGCACATCCCCCGACCACAAAGGAGTCTACTCCCTGGACAACGCCGTCACAGATCAGGGGGCCACCGGAGTCTCCCTGGAGGATGTGGGGTGGTCAGTCACCCACGCTGGCCCAAGGCGGCCAGGAAGGGGGCTGGATGGCCACAAGCTGTTTCAGAATAAAATGCTCCCAGTCTGGAACTCTGGAATTTACTTTTTTTTTTTTTTGACACAGAGACTTGCTCTGTCCCCCAGGCTGGAGTGCAATGGCGAGATCTCGGCTCACTGCAACCTCCACCTCCCGAGTTCAAGCGATTCTCCTGCCTCAGCCTCCCGAGTAGCTGGGATTACAGGCGCCCACCACCACACCCAGCTAATTTTTGTATTTTTAGTAGAGACGGGGTTTCACCATGTTGGCCAGGATGGTCTCGATCTCTTGACCTTGTGATCTGCCTGCCTTGGCCCCCCAAAGTGCTGGGATTACAGGCGTGAGCCACCGCGCCCGGCCTTTTTATTTATTTTTTTTTTTTGACGGAGTCTAACTCTGTCACCCCGACTGGAGGGCAGTATTGTGATCTCAGCTCACTGCAACCTCTGCCTCCCGGGTTTAAGCTATTCTCATGCCCCGGCCTCTGGGGTAGCTTTGTTTCTTTCTCTTGAGACAGGGTCTGGCTCTGTTGCCCAGGCTGGAGTGCAGTGGCACAATCATAGCTCACTGCAACCTCGGACTCCCCGGCTCACGCAATCCAGCTGCCTTAGCCTCCTGAGTAGCGGGGTCTACAGGCTCACACCACCACGACTGGCTAATTTTTAAATTACGTGTAGAGATGCCATCCTGCTGTATTGCCCCGGCTGGTCTTGAACTCCTGGACTCAAGAGGTCCTTCCTCCTCGGCTTCCCAAAGTGCTGGGATTACAGGCGTGAGACACCACTGCTGGCCTGGAATGTTCTCTAAAATGTGTGAGCACCAGCCGGGCACAGAGGCTCGTGCCTGTAATCCCAGCACTTTGGGAGGCCGAGGTGGGTGGATCACTTGAGGCCAGGAGATCAGGACCAGGCTGGTCAACACGGAGAAACCTCCTCTCTACTAAAAATACAACAATTAGCTGGGCATGGTGGCAGGAGGCTGGGGCAGGAGAATCGCTTGAACCCAGGAGGTGGAGGTTGCAGTGAGCTGAGATTGTGCCACTGCATTCCAGCCTGGGTGACAGAGTGAGACTGTGTCTCAAAAAAAAAAAAAAAAATTAGCTGGGCATGCTGGCAGGCACCTGTAATCCTAGATACTTGGGAGGCTGAGGCAGGAGAAGCCCTTGAACCCAGGAGGTGGAGGTTGCAGTGAGCTGAGATCTCACCACGGCACTCCAGCCTGGGCAACAGAGTGAGACTCCGTCAAAAAAAAAAAGTGTGAGGCGGGAAGGGCTGAGGCCATTTGTAGGAACTGGGCATTTATGGGCCTCCTGCTGAACACCTGGATCCCTGGATCCTGGAAGGGGCCCCGGGGGAGGCAGATGGGTCTCCCACACCTTCCTGTGGTCCTAGAGGGATGTGGGGCGGGGAACCCCCAGACCCACCCAGGTAGCCAGGTGCAATGTGAGCACCCCCACCCCATTGAGTCTGCCCATTGGGTGTTGGGTGCGCCCGCCTTCCAGGTGGGGAGACTGAGGCACAGCTTGAGGGCCGCACAGCCAGGCGGTGGACCTGGAACCCTGGTCGCCCTCCCTCCTCTGCTCAGGGCAGCCTCGAGCCAGGTGCCCGGCGAGGTTACTCACAAAGCAGATGCCGGCGCTGCGCCGGGGCACGAACGTGCACACATTATGCTCCCGGCACAGGAAGGTGACCACGGTGACATTGAGCTCCTGCAGGACCCGGGCCACGGGGTCGTGGGTGCCCAGGCGGCCCCAGCCCATGGCCAGGCACTGGGTGCCGTGGGGCACCGACTGGTCTTGCTGCGGCAGCTGGACTGTGGCCACGGAGGCGTTGAGGGTGGCTGGGCGGCTCAGCTGGGGCAGAAGGTGGGTGGCGGTGAGACACTGCCCGAGGCTGCCGGGACGCCCTCCCACCACGTCCACTGCCTCAAAACGCCTCCCACGGGCGTCGCACATGCTGTTCCCTCCACCTGGACCCACCAACTCCTTTGTCCCATTCTACACTATTGTAGTCACTCATTTTTTCTTTTTCTTTTTTGAGACAGAGTCTCACTCTGTCACCAGGCGCCAGGCTGGAGTGCAGCGGCACAATCTCGGCTCACCGCAACCTCCACCTCCCGGGTTCAGGCAATTCTCCTGCCTCAGCCTCCTGAGTAACTGGGACTACGGGCACGCACCACCATGCCCAGCTAATTTTTGTATTTTTAGTAGAGACGGGGTTTCACCATGTTGGTCAGGATGGTCTCGATCTCTTGACCTCGTGATCCACCCGCCTGGGCCTCCCAAAGTGCTGGGATGACAGGCGTGAGACACCATGCCTGGCCTTTTTTTTTTTAAACAGAGTCTTGCTGTTGTCTCCCAGGCTGGAGTGCAGTGGCACCGTCTTGGCTCACTGCAACCTCCCGGAGCCGTCTGCTTGGGTGAGGTGGCCAGCCTGGTCTCAAACTCCCGACCTCAAGTGATCTGCCTGCCTCGGTCTCCCAAAGTGCTGGGATTACAGAGGTGAGCCACCATGCCCGGCCCATTCATTCATTTTCAAAGCACTTTTTGTTTTTTTGAGATGGGGTCTTGCTCTGTCACCCAGGTTGGCATGTGGTGGCCAGACCACAGCTCCCTGCAGCCTCAACCTCCTGGGCTCAAGCAGTCTTCCCACCTCAGCTCATGAGTAGCTGGGTGTGCACTACCACGCCCAGTTGATTTTAAAATTTTTCTTTTGTGGGCTGGGTGCAGTAGCTGCCGCCTCTAATCCCAGCACTGTGGGAGACCGAGGCGGGCAGATCACTTGAGGTCAGGAGTTTGAGACCAGCCTGGCCAAAATGGCAAAACCCCATCTCTACTAAAAATACAAAAATTAGCTGGGCTAAGTTATGGTGGACACTTGAAATCCCAGCTAGCCGGGAGGCTGAGGCAGAAGAACCACTTGAACCCGGGAGGTGGAAGTTGCAGTCAGCTGAGATCACGCCACTGTACTCCGGCCAGGGTAACAGAGTGAGACTCTGTCTCCAAAAAAAAAAAAAATTCTATCGTAGAGATGGGGTCTCACTAAGTTGGTCAGGCTGCTCTCAAACTCCCGGCCTCAAGTGATCCTCCCACCCCGGCCTCCTGAAGTGCTGGGATTGCACGCATGAGCCACAGAGCCCAGCCCCAAGCATTGACTGAGCACCTCCTATTCCAAGCCGCAGGGACCCAGTAGTAAAACAGACAAAAATCGTCTGCCCTGGGGAGATGATCTTTCGGGGTGGGAGGAGGCCAGGAATGCCCCCTGACTGAGAGGAACACGGTCTAGCCGTGGGGAACTGAGAATCGGGGAAGGCTGTGGCTGTCCTTGTCATTTCAAGTAGGGTCAGGGGAAGCCGGAGGAGGCATGGGCGCCTGGGTTTCTGGGGGAACAGTGCCCGGGGCAGAGGCACAGCCAGGGCAGAGGCCGGGAGGAGGAGTGGTCTGGTGTTCAAAGAGCCGTGCTACCAGACCCAGCCTGCCTCGGCCTCGGTCATGGCTGGGTATACAGTGGGTGCTCAATAAATGCTTGCTGAAGGAACGGGGGGGTCCAGGAGCCCTTGAGGCCCTGCGCACCCACCTGGATGAGGAGAACGTCATTCAGGTGGTTCTCTGCGTCATAGCCTGTCTGGAACACTTGAGCGATGGAGAAGTCCTGCTGGGTGGGCTCTGGCGTCTGCAGGTTGTGGGCTCCAAGCACCACTTTTACCAGGTTGTGGGGTCTGCGGGGGTGGGCTGGTCACTCCTTGGCGCCTGGCCACTCGCTGGCCCCCACAACGGGTTCTTCCCGAGGCCAGGGGTGCAGCCACAGACCCCTCCCTCAGTGGCTCTGCCCCTAGGGACCCCGACAGCGCCATCCCGCTCTCCCCCCAGGACTGCCCCCAGGTGAGGGCCATGGGGTCAGCACACGGAGCTTAGCCAGGTCCTTCCTGGGCAGGAGAGCTGCCCGGCCAGGCCTGGAGGAACAGGGTGGGGCGGATGGAAGGGGCTACGGAGGTGGCCACTCACGTTTCCTGCAGGCAGTGTGCGGCCGTCAGCACGAAGCGGGGGTGGATCAAGGTGCCCCCGCAGAAATGGCTGCCCCGGGTCCCCCGGAACTGCAGGGAGGCCATGTAGGGCCGAGAGTGTGGCTGCGCCTCCCGCCCGCCCACGATCTCCGAAGCTCGGGCGGCACCTGCTGGGGACAGTCCAGGCGTCAGGGAGTGCCCAGGCTGCAGGGGAGGCGGTCAGAGAGCTGTCTCTGGGCCTCTCTGAGCTTCCGTCTCCCCAGCAGCAACCCCATCAGCGCCTGCCGGCTGAGGGCTCTGCACGCAGGCCTGGGGTTACAATT